ATTTCCTTGCTGCATGTTTATCTTTTTCTCATAAATTGTTTACAGATGGGAAAATAGGCATATATTTCAGTAGTTATTGATACTTTCTCGTTCACTGTAAACTATATTAAGATCTGATATTTTTATCCATATCTTTGGTGTCTTCTCATTTGAGTATCTTGCTAATCAATTTCTCAATGTGTTTCTATATTCTTTCCATCACAGACATTTTCCGTTTACAGCTGCTCTTTTCATCTCTGCTCTCTTTAGTACCATTTCTACCTTCTCTGTAAGCTCACACAGGGAAAGATGCTGGAGCCCAAGCATGGTGATTGTACTGTCCTTGAGAGTGAAAAGAGTTTGTTGTAAAAGTCCTTACAGATCTTTTCTAAATTTTATGTGTCTGTCCAGTTTCATCCCAAATATCCTTTGGATGACTGCTTAGTTGAGTGTCTCTTTAAGCTTTCTTTAAAATGATTTAACTTTCTACTTTTTTTCTCTGTTTAATAGGTGATACTGCTCATACTTTTTAGCACAGAACACACCATCCTACCATGTCTATTGTTACTTGACTGTAAGATGGCATCTAATTCTACTGAGCAAAATGCTACCTCTAGCAAGGTTTCTCCCACACATATGTCATAAGACTCCTCGAAATTTATAACAGAAGTAAAAAAAAAACTTTTCAAGAACCCGGTGGTAATTCATATTGGACAAGGCATAAAGCAGGGGCCTTTTGCTTGTTAAAAGTATTCAGAACTGTCATGGATGAGATCCAGCACCGTGTTTAAACTGAAGAGAGATTCCCTGGAGATCAGGGGTTCTTAACTTGGAGTTCATGAACTTTTAAAAATATTTTGGGAGCTGTATTTCAATATAATTGGTTTCTTTGTAACCTGGTATATTGCATACATTTAAAAAGTTATTCTGAGAAGGGTTCCATCCATGGGCTTCACCCAAATGTCAATGGAGTCCTTCACACACAAAAAGGTTAAGGACTCCTGTGATAGATATGAGGTCCTTCAGATACTACTCTTTGTGGATAACATTGTGTTGGTTGCATCAAGTCTCATGTGGCAGGAATAAAAATAGGTTGATCTCTTCTTCCATGAAGTTCATCTAGTATTTCTGTAAAAGATATTGAAACCATCCTCAAGACTTGATTGGATCAGGGACCAAGGGCTTAGGCTGTTGACATCACTTCCCTGTGTGCCTAAGTATAAAACAGCCAAGCTCCAGGCATACTCTAATACTTGGGTGGTGAAAAATGGTGGGAGCTCTGCTCAGCTGAATCAACTCGCGGTGTCCTCAAAGCAAATCCTTGTTAAATATCCTTCTTCTCTATGGCTAAGCAACACTCTTTTTTGTTAACTGTTGAATGACCTCTGAGTGTCTCATTTTGGTCCTATCCAACATATACTACCAGGGGGACTGGTCTGAATCATGTGCAGTTCAGAACATCCCACAAAATTGCAGAGTCTTCTGGATGGGAGCCATAACCACTCAAAAGGGTCTGACTTGATCTTCCACACAGGAAGCATAAAGAATGCCTACTATCTAGATTATGATATGGATTTAGATGGACAAGCTATAGTTTGTCCCTCAGAAAAAATACATACACACACAGACCCATAGATATAAGTGTATGTATGTGCATATACATACAAACATATGTATACACACAGAATGTATATGGATACACATGTAGACATTTACATATACATACATTCTCTCATGCCTGGAATGCTCTTACTTCTCATCTCTCTCTCCTGGCTTCCTTGAAGTCCTAGCTAAAACTCCAGCTTCTACAAGAAGCTTTTCCTGATCCCACTTAATGCGAGTGCCTTCCCTCTTTTCTGTCCAATTTATTTTGTATATATCTTGTTTGTACATTGTTGTTTGTATGTTGTTTCCCATTTGATTGTGAGCTCCTTGACAGCAAAGTCTATTATTTGCCTTTGTATCCCCAGGTTTAGTACAGTGCCTGGTACATAATAGGTGCTTAATGTTTATTGACTGAATCACTGGCCCTTTCATAATTTTTTTTTGCAGCAAAATAGTATTCCACTGAATTCTTGTACTATAATTTGTTAAGCCATTCCCCAATTGATGAGCATCTCCTTACTTTCTAGTCTCTGTCCTCATAAAAGGAGCTGCCATAAATATTTTTGTACATACATGTCCTTTTCCTCACTCTTTCATCCCTTTTGGTCATAAGCATTCTGAGTCAAAAGGTATGCACTGTTTCATCATTTTTGGGTCACATTTCCAAACTGTCTTCTCCTTGATAATTTTTTAAACTTTTGTTTAGATTTATCTAGATCTGAAAGGGATACATTAACCCTAACCCTCCACTATTACAGGCTTACTGTTTATAATTCATTTAGCTTTCCTTTTAAATATTTAGATACTATGCCATTCATTGGAAAAATGTTAAGCAGCAATATTGTTACAACGATCAACTGTGAAAGACTTAGCTACTCTTATTAATACAGTGACCGGCAATAATTCCAAAGATCTCACAATAAAAAATGTTTTTCACCTGAGAGAGAGAGAGAGAGAGAGAGAGAGAGAGAGAGAGAGAGAGAGAGAGAGAGAGAGAGAGAAAGAAACTGGGAAACTCTGAATGCATACTGAAGTGTTTTTTTCACTTTATTTTTGGCAACTTGGCTAATATGGAACTAATATTTTCATTACTTCACATGTACAATCAACCAATACTTAAAGAAATTAATTCAGGCTATCTTACTGAAAGGTCAAATACTGAAGTTGAAGCTTAAATACTTTGGCCACATAATGAGAAGACAGGATTCACTGGAAAAGACCTTGATGTTGGGAAAGATTGAAGAGAAAAGGAAAAAGAGACAGCAGAGGATGAGATTAGATAGATAGTGGCATGGAAACAATGAACATGAACTTGGACAGAGTTCAAGACATAGTAGGAGACAGAAAGGACTGGTTTGCTATGGTCCATGGGGTCACAAAGACTCAGATATGACTGAATGACTTAATAACAACACACATATAATAGGCATCATATTGCTTGCCTTCTCAATGGGTGGGAGAGGAGCTAGAAGGAGGGAGAGAATTTGGAACTCAAAACTACAAAAAATGACTATTAAAAAAAAGAAAGGTAAATATTGACATTAATTCATTGTCTATGTCTTCTAATTAATTTTCTCTTGTCTTTCAGCATAATGTAGTTTCTTTGCTCATATCTTGGAATCATCTATCTTTGCTGTTTCTTGTCTGATATCATGATTACTACTGTTTGGTTTTTTTACTTCAGCTAAAGCATAATAGATTTTGCCACAGGACCTTATTTTAACTGTCTTTGAATCTTTGATGTTTCAAGTGTGTTTCTCATGAACAATATATTGTTGGATTCTGATTTGTAAATTTAATTCCATAGCTCCAACACCGCCCTGTTTATCTGGATCCCCTTATGAACTTATTTTTGCTCTCTATGCATTTTAAAAAAAAGTTTCATTGCTGCTCTTCTTTCTTTGCTGACTTTTTTTTGGTATTACTATCACTACCCACTCATCTCTTCCCCCATGTTACACTTTTTTGTGTCTTGGAAGTTTATTTCTCTCTACTCTATAGAATCTGAGTTACCATTTTTAAATGTAGAATCTAAGGGGGGGGGGAATCCTATAATTCCGGACCTTAATAAAAAAAAGTCTTTGACTTCCACTTGAGAGAACAACCCAAGGTTATTCTTCTGGCACTGGCCAACGAATTTAGAGGCAAGAAGTCCCTAGAAAGATGAATGGCTGTATTCATCAGCTACTATCCCCTCATGCACCTATGCAGTTTTAATTACTCCTCACTTTCTTTTGATTTCATCTTTAAAACCAGGGTAAATCTTCTCATTTCCCCAGTTATAACTTAATAAATGTATCCATTTGGAACTAAATTGCCCCAACAGCACCTGATATTATATTTAATACTCTCTATTCCTCCTTTGTTAGACAGTTTTGAATAGATTGGGCAATATTGAAATCTTATATTCCCATCCCTTTCTACAATTACTGTACTCAAAAATTCCAAAGTATAACTCAGTAAGTCAAGCAAATAGGTAACCACCTTGCTCTTTACCAATCACAATCCTGGAACTGCTGAAAAGGAGGGAACATTTCTAACAGACATCAGAGATTGGCCTTTTTTTATACAAAAAAAGGAAAGCTAGGAAAGCATCTTAGAAGCTGCCAAACCATCTACCAACCTGGAAACTCCCAGGACTGATGTAGCACCCCTTGAATATCCATCTGGCTGAAAGGAATATCATCTAATACCTTTTGTGAGAATAACATACATAATTATCAAGAACATCCTTAATAGGGGTGAAGGAATAAGCAGGTTTTCATAAACTATATTCCACAGTAGATAACTTCAGTGATGTGACAAGTGAATAGTATTAGAAATTTCCTTTAGAGTTGGGAGATTAATAGCTGGGATATGCAACCATAACACCCCATCTTCTTCAGTTCTTGCAATACGTTTATACTAAAATGGGGTCTAGAAGTAGTTTTCCAAAATTGCAAAGGCCATTCAGACTTCCCATTATTGTATAACTTGAAAAACTGGATAAATTTTGAAAACAATGTAGTTCATTACATTAAAGCCAAATTAATCCCTTTTTTATTAACAGTGGATCAGTAAAACAATATGTATTTTAAGCTATATGATCTACCAAAATTTGAGACGTGAGATAGTAAAATGCTGAGAAAAAACTTCCCGCCTACATTAAATAAATAGAGGCAGCTAGATGGCTCAGAGGATAGAGCTCTGGGACTGGAGTCATGAAGACCTAAGCTCAAATCTAACCTCAGACACCTACTGTCTGTGTGACCAAGTCACTTAACCTCTGTTTGCCTTTATCTGCTGGAGAAAGAAATGGCAAACCACTCTAGTATTTTTGCCAACTAAACCTCATGGACAGTATAGTTCATGAAGAGTTGGACCCAACTGAAGTACTGAACAACAACATTAAATAACTAAGACCAAAATGATCAAAATGAGTTTCAACATTTTATTGAGGTCCTTTCGTAAAGAAGTTAAATACATAGCCTTAGCTTAAATATGTACTCAAACCAGTGTCTAAGCACGCAAAGCTGAAGACAGACAAGGTGAAAGTAGTGGTGTGATTTCAACCACTAAGGGCACAACCAGAGAAAAGACTGTCATATGAAAACCCAAATAGGAGATATCTGAGTGAAGAGACCTGTCCTCAAAATATTTGCTTCCAAACAGAAAGGGGGTGGGAGGGTAGGGGAAGAGACTAGCTGCAATATCCTGGCACAGTTCGCAGGATTTCTGAGCAGCACCCCTGTGAAAAATTCATCAACCAAGGAATGAGGCCCTTGAATAATAGACATGAGGTACTGGAAGGCATGTAAACTCTTTTATCAAGAAGCAGCTTCAGTCATTTGGAGGTCCTTTTAAGGAGCCTGGGGGAGGTCTGGGAAAAACCAAAGGATTTGGACTGAGATTTGTGCCTCTGGGTCAAAATGTTTTAACTCCATACAGAGGGAGGGGTCCATCTATAATCCAACTCTTTAATAGGAAGCACTCCCATATAATGGACTATTCTTTGTCCTTTTAATTCATCTGCTTTCCAGAATCTTCTGGGCTTCCTAGAATTTCTAAGTATTTCAAATATCTCAACAATTTCAAAAGCCACCTTTTGTGAACACAAATCCTTTTCTTTTTAGTTATTTTCAGTTTTGAAATTTAAAGATTCGCTCGTTGACATTATCTGTGTGACTTTAGTTACATCTCAATTCTACAGAGCTGTAAAATGGGAATTGTTGCACATGTTGCAAACTCCCACTCCCACTGGTGGGCTGGTCTCTAGAGGGCAGCTGCTCCACTAAGAATTCTAAGACATACTGAAGGGTTGGGAAGTGCTGCTGGTGTGTTCCTCTGGTAGAGCTCAAGCCTCCACCAGTAGCTTTCCATTGGTTATTGGCCAAACTTAATTAGCTCTTAGAAATAGGTATTTACCAAAGTGGTCTATTAAAAACAGTTGGTACAAAACATCCCCTCTGAGTGGGGGTACACTATCACAAGCACATATGGAACCAGGGAAAATGGAGCAAGAATACACGACACAGAAAAGGGAAATCTCACAGGTCTGGAGTCACTTTCCTGGAAGTACTTTTCTCCCCTTTGTGTGGCTTCAGGAGGTTCCTTTGTAAGAATGGCATAGCTTTCTGCTGGGCTTCTTATAGAGTCCTGAAGCTAGTATAGTTTGTGGTTGTCTCCAAAGCAGACACTACCATCAGTTATTGGTTTTCTCTGATGGAATGCCCACATCCTCCAACCTCTCAAAGTTCACAAGGTCTTCCTCTTGTTAAGTCATGGAGGAGGGAAGGTAACAGAAGATCTTCTCCTTCACTCTCTACCCCCTTCCCTCAATGATTCTTTCTCAGGGACTTGGGGAACTCTTCTCTTCTCTATATTTCCAGACACTCAAATTCTGGGTTGAAACTGGTCTGCTCTTTTATATAAGATTCACAGGGCATCACTGAGTCTCCTCAGCCAGCCCCAATACTTCTGTGCAGTATGGATTTATTGTATCCAGGGGCCTTGACTCCTATGAAGTGACTTTCCAGACATAATCAAATGCCCTTGACTGATTAATGTGTTCTCACCTGGTTAAGGTATTCATTTTGAATGAGGTGGGATGACCGACTCAATAGAAACATCCAGGCCTTGCTCATACCTCTGACTGATTCAACTCAGAAGTCCAGGTCTTCTGTAATTATTGGGGCAAGTGTATGGAACACCACTCTTGTGAGTAGCAATAATGTATGTCCTGACAGGGGTAAAGAAAGACTGTGCAAAACTTCAAGAATCAGAGAAATGTGAGTCATTAACATGGACAATTTAATGTAACTGTTTAATTTTCTGCTCTGTAATGCTTCAAGCCATCTCATTATGTGTAAAAAATGAGGAAAGGAGGGAAAAGTAAGGAATGATCCTTTTAGCAAAAGCAAGAAATTATGGGGAAACGTTGAATGCTATGAGTTAGGATTCACATGGAACAAATGAGGGTATCCTGAGCCTTGCATGGCTTAAAATAATGCTTAGAAGGTGCGATTGGAATAATGGACAAGAACTTATACAAAACAAAGGGCCACAGTTCTGAATCCAAAGATAGGCTCAGAATGAGTTGGTTTACTTATTTTTAAGTTGAATGGGTATATATATAAAAGCTATGGACAGGCTTTGGTGCTAGAGAGGATAAGCAGATAGACATACAAATATATTTGGACACAAACTTGAATGTATTTAATATTTGTTTCACTATAAAGGGCTTTCTTCACGTTTCATTAGTTTGTTTAAAATTAAAAATGTTTTATTTATTTATTTGTTTGTTTTTGCTATTAGAAAGGTTGGTATTTAGTTGTCACTATTTTGCGTTTTGGAGCATTCTGCTCAATAAGATTTGAATGACTAACCATGAAATGAAAGCTAATGTTTTATAGAAACACTTTTGTCTTTTTTCAAATCCCTATACAACAGCACAGTTGGTAAAAAAACAAAACAAACCAAAAAAAACCTGTTGCTTGGACTCTCAGGTATTTAGCAAAATGACAAGTCTAACTTAGCTTTCCCCAGTCTCTGGATTCCCAATGTTATTCCCAAATATGAATTAACTGAAATTTTATGAGATTCTAGTTCACATCAATGATTTCATGAATCATTAAGTTCACAGTGCTTTCCTTCAGTATGACTTCTCTGATGTTTAGAAAGGCATGATCTCTGGCTAAAGGTTTTCCCACATTCATTACATTTATAGGGTTTCTCTCCAGTGTGAATAAACTGATGCTCAATAAGAGATGATTTTCGGCTAAATGTTTTCTCACATTTAATGCATTCATAAGGTTTTTCTCCAGTGTGAATAAACTGATGTTCAAGAAGAGATGACTTACGACTAAACGTTTTTCTACATTTAACACATTCATAAGGTTTTTCTCCAGTGTGAATAAGCTGGTGTTCAGTAAGGTGTGTGCTCTGACTAAAAGCTTTCCCACATATATCACATCCATAGGGTTTCTCTCCAGTATGAATTCTCTGATGTTTAGAAAGGCATGAGCTTTGGCTAAAAGCTTTCCCACATTCATTGCAATTATAAGGTTTCTCTCCAGTGTGGATTCTCTGGTGTTTAGAAAGGCATGAACTCCGGCTGAAGGCTTTCCCACATTCACTACATTTATATGATTTATCATTAGTATGAATTCTGTGATGTTGAGTAAGGAGTGTGCTCTGGCTGAAGGCCTTGCCACATTCATTACACTCATAGGGTTTCTCTCCAGTATGAATTTTCTGATGTTCAAAAAGGGAGGAGTTGCGACTAAAGGCTCTTCCACATTCATCACATTTGAATGGTTTCTCTCCAGTATGAATTCTCTGATGTTGAGTAAGGTGTGCACTCCGGCTGAACATTTTACCACAATCATTACATTCATAGGGTTTCTCTCCAGTATGAATTCTCTGGTGTTGATTGAGATAGGAGCTTTGACTGAAGGATTTCCCACATTCATTACACCCATAAGGTTTCTCTCCTGTATGAATTCTCTGATGTTGAATAAAGTGCGTGCTCTGAAGAAAGGCTTTCCCACATTCATTACACTCATAGGGTTTTTCTCCAGTATGTATCCTCTGATGCTTATTAAGGGATGAGCTCCGACTGAATGCTTTTCCACAATCATTACATTTGTAGGGTCTCTCTCCAGTATGAATTATATAATGCTGAGTAAGGGTTGAGTGGTCATTATAAACTTTTTCACATTCATTACATTTATATGTTTTCTTCTCTGTATTTCCCTGATGTTTAATTATATCTGAATTCTGTTTGAAGTTCTTTCCATGTATATCACATTTATATAGTGTTTTTTCTATAGGAACTTTCTGTGTTGTAACAAGGGTTGACTTCAGACTATATTTTCTCCCAAACTGACTACATTCATGACCTCTTTCTCCAGGAATTTCACTGTGGAGGACTGTTGCTTGCCTCAGATCCATCTCTTCGTTTACCAGTTGCTTCTTTAACCAAGCATCACATTCCTGGGTTTCTCTTAAAGTGGAGTCAGAGGGACTATCCTGTGATTCCATTACTACCATCTGATGATCTTTCTTCAGAAATTTACTCTTTTGGAGTTGATTTATTAGCCTCAGGCCTAGTGTTCCACTCTGAGAAACAAACCAAGAAAAAATACAGTTGGCAGATTTTTCCAATGCTGGGGAAAAGGTAAATGAGAAGATAACATAACTCAAAAGAATGTCTACAAGGAATATGTGCATTTGACATATCATATAAATGGTTTTACAATCTGGCAGGAAGAAAGGTGACAAAAGGGAGTGATGGCTGATGCAAAGTGGAGATGTTCAAAGAGAATAAAGAGATTGATGAGCAACATGTCACAATTCAACAGTTTAGTGTTTTCCACTCTGTAACACTTCTAGCATTTGGCAGCTATTCCGTATTTCACTGAAGCACAACTCCCTGAGATTTGAATGACTCCACTACTATGACAATGGTATTAATTTTTCAAAGTGAAAAGGTTTTATTAACTCTCACCCACAGTCCTCTGGTGCTACTATGATATTTCTGGAGATGTCTGATGGTTGGATCTGTGCTAACGATGGAGATGATCTGGACCAAAGGTCTACTTAAGCTTCCCTCAGCTATACTCCCTTATCCTTTCTGTTTGAAGTCAGTCTTCTCTCTTTGGGCTTATGAGGCTTAGAAATCTTTGATCTCCACTTGTTCCTACAGCAGGTGCCTTTTCAGTCCTGTCTGAGACTGACGTTTTGCTTGCTACCTACCTGAGATCTCTTTCCAATTGTCACTTTAGAAATGAAGTTTCTTTCTGAGAGGTGTTAGTTGTGGTAGCAAGTGAACAAGATGTGCTCCTACTCTGGATTCCCCCTGACCTTCTTAGTAATACAGTAGTGGGCTTGTACAAATGAAAACTTTAGATTCCTTCATGTACTTAATTTCCTGTATGTGGCTTCTAAGATTCCTGGAACAGCCTCCAGCCTTACGAAAAGCCTAGGTGCATCATATGCGTATGAAACTTTGTCTGCTAAATTGGGCTGTAGGGCTCCATAGTGTTCCCAGACTGAAAAACCTAATATTTCTTTAGTGCCACATATGGCTTGTGAGAGAAGGGGAGACAAAAGCTTAATAGGAGAATGCCTTCAAAATCAGCCAGCATGCCATCCACGTTCACTAGCACTCATAAAGCTCTCTACTTGGCCACTAGTGCCATGGCCTAAGGGTCCTATGATGACAATGTTTTGTAGGAGAGCAGGATATGGGGGGAGGGGTTGTAAGGGAGAGAGGATGGAAAGTGTTTACCTTTTTCAACCCCAAACAACATCATAGCTGTTGGCAATCTGTGCTGCCTTTACTCTTGGGTAATTTGCCAAAGTGTTTTAAAAGTCTGATTGAGCTTTACCCATAATAATGATATTTCCAGTGGCATCCTACAACACAAGTTATCAGATATTTGATGAGAACCTAGGTAAACACGAATGACTTCACACAGTCATTAAATTCATAGGGCTTTCTTTCCCTGATGCTTGGACAGAAATCACCTCTGGCTCAAGATTTTCCCACATTCATTATATTTAGAGGGGTTCTCTTCAGTGTGAATGAACTAATGTTCAATAAGATATCTTGCAAATGAACATTTCCCCTGTTTAAAACATTCATAGGTTTTTCTTCAGTAAAAATGCACAGATGTTCAGTAAGGGGGTCACTGAATAAATGCTTTCACATATTCATTACACACATAAGATTTCTCTCCAGCATGAATTCTCTGATGATTATCAGTGGATGAGCTCTGGCTAAAAGTTTTTCCACTATCATAACATTTGTAGAGTTTCTTTCTCAGAATGAATTATATAATGTTGAGTAAAGGCTGAGCAGTCACTAAAGATTTTTTCCATATTCACTGCATTTATTAAGTCTTCCCTCTTGTCTTTCCCTAATATTTAATGTCTGAATTCTATTTGAAGTTTTTCTGTGTATAAGAAATCTATGTAATCTCTTTTCTAAAAGAACTTTCTGTTACATAGCAAAAATTGGTGTCAAACTAATTTTTTTTTCAAAAATGACTATACTGGTGACCTCTTTCTTTAGTGAGAATATTTTTGGGATGACTATTGCTTATCTCCAATGTCTCTCCTGGTTTCCTTGTTATTTTGTTAATCAAAGTACTCCAAACTTTTAGAGTACAGGGAACATCCTGTGTAAATATTTCCATCACCAAAATCTGAGATGATGTCTTAGTTTTCAAAATAGCACCTTAAATATGATTGCAAAGAATTTTTTTTTTAAATAAACGTACCAGATCTTCTCTATGCTAGGAAAACTGAGAAGTTGTACTGAGAAGGTAATGAAAGTAAATAGAAAAATTACAGGGAATATATAAATTTGCCATTTCTCACATATGAAGGATGGCAGTATAAGAGGAAGAGTGAGAAAAGAGAGTGGTGTATCTACCAAAGTTAACATGACTAAATACAATGAAAAGACCAGGTGGTAAGAAGAATGACCAAAAACAAAGGTTAAGTAGACTGAGAGGGGAATGACAGTGCCCCAATAGATAATATTTATATAGCACTTTAAGGTTTGCAAGGTGCTTTGCATATATTAACTCACTGGACTCTCATGACAACCCTAGGAGGTAGATGCTACTCTATGTGTCTCTGTGTGTGTGTATATATGTATGTGTATATACACCTATAGTTACATAAATATGTGTATATGCAGGTGTATATGTCTATATGTCTATACATGTATACAGATATGTGTGTATATGTATACATACACACATGTATATATACATATACATATATATATATTTATATGTAAACAAGTGTAGAGAAGTCAAATGAATTCTCTGTCTTCACATAGCTAGTAATTATCTAAAGCAGGATTTCAATTCTTGTCTTTCCTACCCCTGTAGGAAATCTGTATTCGATTCACTGTTCCACTTAGCTATGCCAGAGAAGGCTATCTGGGATCATGAGGGGATAACATTTTAGGAAATGCTCTTTGCTACTACCCTAATTAACGCCCTTATTACCTCACTCTTGAATTATTATTATTTTTTGCAAATCTTTTAAAAATTAATTTATTTTTAGTTTTGAACAATCCCTTCCATAAGTTTTTGAGTTTTAAATTTTCCCCCCTCCCTCTCCAACTCCCTCTCCAAGATGGAATACAATCTGATATAGGCTCTACATATGTATTCCTATTAAACATTTTCACATTGGTGATGTTGTAAGGAAGAATTAGAACCAATAGGAGGAACCACAAGAAAGAGGAAACAAAACAAAACAGAAGGAAAAAAAGAAGAGCAAATAGCATACTTCGATCTGCATTCAAATGCCATAATTCTTTCTTTGGATGTGGATAGCATTTTCCATCATGAGATTTTTGGAGATCTTTGCATTGCTGAGAAGGGCTAAGTCTGTGAAAGTTAGTCATCACACGACATGTCTATTAGTGTGTACAATGTTCCCCTGGTTTTGCTCACTTCACTTAGCATCAGTCCATACAAGTCTTTCGAGGTTTTTCTGAAGTCCATCTGCTCATCATTCCTTATAGCACAATAGTATTCCATTACATTCATAGATCACAACTTGTTCAGTCATTCCCCAATTGATGGGCATCCCCTCAATTTTCAATTCTTTGCCACCACAGAAAGAGCTGCTATAAATATTTTTGTACATATGAGTCCTTTCCCCATTTGTATGATCTCTTTGGGATACAGCTCTAGAAGTGCTATTGCTGGATCAAAGAGTATCCACATTTTTATAGCCCTTTGGGCATAGTTCCAAATTGCTCTCCAAAATGACTGGATCATTTCACAACTCCACCAACAATGCATTAGTGTTCCATTTTCCCACATCTTCTCCAACATTTATCATTTTCCTGTTTTGTCATGTTGGCCAATCTGATAGGTGTGATGTGGTACCTCAGAGTTATTCTGATTTGCATTTCTCTAAACAACAGTGATTTAGAGCATTTTTTCATGTGACTATAGACAGCTTTAATTTCTTCATCTGACAATTTCCTGTTTATATCCTTTGACCATTTATCAATTGGGGAATAACTTGTATTCTTAGAAATTTGATTTAGTTCTCTATATATTTCAGAAATGAGGCCTTTATCAGAGACACTCGTAAAAATTCTTTCCCAGCTTTCTGCTTCCCCCCTAATCTTGTTTGCATTGGCTTTGTTCGTGCAAAAACTTTTCAATTTAATGTAGTCAAAATTATCCATTTTGCATTTCGTAATGCTCTCTATTTCTTGTTTGGTCATGAATTCTTCTGTTCTCCATAAATCGACAGGTAAACTGTTCCTTGCTCTCCCAATTTGCTTATAGTATCAGCCTTTATATCTAAATTGTGTACCCATTTTGACTTTATTTTGGTATATGGTGTAAGATTTTGGTCTATGCCTACTTTCTGCCATACTCTTTTCCAGTTTTCCCAGCAATTTTTGTCAAATATTGAGTTTTTATCCCCGAAGCTGGAGCCTTTGGGTTTATCAAACAATAGATTACTATAGTCATTGACTACTGTGTCTTGCATACCTAACCTACTCCACTGATCCACCTCCCTATTTCTTAGCCAGTACCAAGTAGTTTTGATGATTGCTGCTTTATAATACAATTTAAGATCTGGAACAGCTAGGCCACCTTCCCTAGCATTTCTTTTCATTAGTTCCCTTGATATTCTGGACCTTCTGTTCTTTCAAATGAATCTTGTTACTATTTTCTTCTAGCTCTATAAAATGATTTTTGGCAGTTTGATTGGTAGGACATTGAATAAGTAAATTAACTTAGGTAGAATTGTCATTTTTATTGTATTAGCTTGGCCTGCCCATGAGCAACTGACGTTTTTCCAATTGTTTAGATCTGACTTTATTTGTGTGAAGTGTTTTGTAATTGTGCTCATATAGTTCCTGGGTTTGTTTAGGCAGGTAGACTCCTAAATATTTTATAATGTCTATAGTAACTTTAAATGGAATTTCTCTTTCTATTTCTTGCTGTTTGGCTTTGTTGGTAATATACAGAAATGCCAATGATTTATGTGGGTTTATTTTATAACCTGCAACTTTGCTAAAGTTGCTTATTATTTCAAGTAGTTTTTTACTTGATTCTCTAAGTACATCATCATATCATCTGCAAAGAGTGATAGCTTTGTTTCTTCTTTGCCTATTCTAATATCTTCAATTTCTTTTTCTTCTTTTATTGCTAAAGCTAACTTTGTTTTTTAGGCAATTAGGGTTAAGTGACTTGCCCAGGGTCACAGAGCTAGTAAGTGTCAAGTGTTTGGTCTGAGACTAGATTTGAACTCAGGTCCTCCTGACTTCAGGGGTGGTGCTCTATCCTCTGAGCCACCTAGTTGCCCCTAAAGCTAACTTTTCTAGTACCATATTGAACAACAGTGATGATAATGGACATCCTTGTTTCACCCCTGATCTTATTGGGAATGCTTCTAGCCTATTGTCATTACACAGAATGCTTGCTGAAGGTTTTAGGTAGATGTTCCTTCTCGTTTTAAGGAAGACTCCATGTAGTCCTATGCTCTCTAGTGTTTTTTAATAGGAAAGGGTGTTGTATTTTGTGAAAAGCTTTTTTCTGCATCTATTGAGATGATCATGTGGTTTCTGTTAGTTTTGTTATTGATTTGATCAATTATGCTGACAGTTTTCCTAATACTGAACCAGCCCTGCATTCCTGGTATAAATCCTACCTGGTTGTAGGGTATTATTCTCGTGATAAGTTGCTGTATTTGCTAATATTTTATTTAAAATTTTTGCATCTATATTCATTAGGGAAATTGGTCTATAATTTTCTTTCTCTGTTTTGACTCTTCCTGGTTTAGGTATCAGCACCATATTTGTATCATAAAAAGAATTTGGTAAGGCTCCTTTGCCTATTTTCCCAAATAGTCTTTATAGTGTTGAATTTAATTGTTCTTTAAATGTTTGACCAAAGGAAATTTCATTGATAGAGGAAGAATTGAAATCATCTCCCAGGGCCAGATGAGGAAACATTGGAACAACTTAACACATTTGTCTGCCCATGGCACTCTGCATACGCTATGTATTACTGTATCCCCAGCGGCAACCCCAAAGCTCTTGCCGCCAGATCACGTGGGTGGCTCCATGTGCTCTACAGTAGGAACCACGTACGAGGGGCTCCGGCTGCCCACGCCGGGGAAAGAGATTCAGCAGCTCATCACTGCCACAGCTGCGCATGCGCCAGCTCGGCTCTGGGCCCCCGCCTTCCCGGGCGCGTCCCCGCTCAGGCAACCACACGTGCGCGCGCACACCGTCCAGCACGCACACACAAGAAGCGCACTCACACCTGAGGAGACACGTAGCTTGCATACACGACACACACGCACGAACACACCTATACTAACACGCACTACCCCCGCGGGACCGGACTCACCTTCCAAGCGAGCGGAGCCGGCTACGAGCCAACAAAGGCGGCCGGCGCTCCATCTCACTGAGGAAGCACGCGTGCGCAGACGGCCCGCGAACTACGATGCCCAGAATCCTCCGCGTCTCGAGTCCTCTATTTCCCAGACGCCTCCGCGGCGCGCTGGCCTCGGCCTGGCAGGAGGTTGCTGGGGGTGCTGGTTGCTGCCCCAGGAGGCGCCAGCTCTTTCGATTCCCCCTCTTCATACAGAGAAAGAAACTGAGGCCCAGAGAGGAAAAGCGTCTTCCCCGAAGCTTGCATAGAAGTTAGTGGCAGGAGCACAATTCGAACTCATGTCCTCTGGCTCTGAATGCAGCAGGCTGTTTCCAGGATCCCCAAGCTTAGCTCGAGTCCACCTCGGCCATCCCGCTGCAGAGCCGGTGAGATGGCTGTTGGTGACTGTTGAAAGATCTGGGAGAATGGGAGACATGCCTCACTGCAGACTGGAGACGGGCCTAATCATGAAACTCCTAACTGTAAAAAAAAAAAAAAAAAAAGGTGATTATGTCTGGAGTCTGCCAACTGTAGGCTACTGAGCTTCGGTTTTCTTCCTGGCTAATCATTCCAGAAAAAAAACAAATCAAAAGTGTGCACACACATAAATATATAGAGATGCAGATAGACGAAATCTATTTATGTATGTATATGAAATGAAATACACGTTTCATTTCAAAATGGTATTTTATTCCCTTTCAGTATGCTTTAATACAGAGACAGATTCACAGGGAAGCAGAGTGGAAACTGAGGAAACTGAGTGAAAGGGATTTTTCACCAGCATATAGATTTGGGGGCAACGTACATCTTTTTAACTTGTCTAAAAATCTGGCTCTGGTTCATATTAACATCAAGTTATTTTGTCAGGGAAGTCTGTAAGTTATCAGGTTCCACTTGAGTCTTGTATTTGAAAGTCAAATTTTCTGTTCAACTCAGGTCTTTTCATCAAGAATGCTTGAAAGTCCTCTATTTCACTGAATGACCATTTTTTCCCCTGAAGGATTATACTCAGTTTTGCTGGGTAGGAGATTTTTGGTTGTAATCCTATCTCCTTTGCCCTCTGGAATATTGTATTCCATGCCCTGTGGTCCCTTAATGTAGAAGCTGCTAAATCTTGTGTTATCCTGATTGTGTTTCCACAATACTTGAATTGTTTCTTTCTGGCTGCTTGCAATATTTTCTCCTTGACCTGGGAACTCTGGAATTTGGCTACAATATTTTCTAGGAGTTTTCCTTTGGGGATGTCTTTCAGGAGGAGATCAGTGGATTCTTTCAATTTCTATTTTGCCTTCTGGTTCTAAGATATCAGGGAAGTTTTCCTTGATAATTTCTGGAAAGATGATGTCTAGGCTCTTTTTTTTTTGGATCATGGCTTTCAGATAGTCCAATAATTTTTAAATTCTCTCTCCTGGACCTATTTTCCAGATCAGTTGTTTTTCCAATGAGACATTTCACATTGTTTTCTAATTTTTCATTCTTTTGGATTTGTTTTACAGTGCCTTGATTTCTCAAATTGTCACTAGCTTCCAATTTCTCCATTCTGATTTTTAAGGAAGTATTTTCTTCAGTAAGCTTTTGGACTTCCTTCTCTATTTGGCCAATTTTGCTTTTTAAGGCATTCTTCTTCTCATTAGCTTTTTGGATCTCTTGCCATCTGGGTTAGGCTATTTTTTAAGATGTTATTTTCTTCGGTATTTTTTTGGGTCTCCTTTAGCATCACTCTCAGTTTTTCCTCTACTTCTCTAACTTGCTTCTCAAAATCCTTTTTGAGCTCTTCCATGGCCGGGGACCAATTCATATTTTTCTTGGAGGCTTTAGATGTAGGAGTTTTGGCTTTGTTGTCTTCTTCTGGTTGTATATTTTGATCTTCTTTGTTACCAGAGTAAGATAATACAGTCTGACTCCTTTTGCACTGCTTGCTCATGATCCCAGCCAATTACTCGGGTTATAAACTCTTTGTTAAGGTAGGGGTCTGCTTCCAGTGTGGAGAATGTACTGTCCCAAGCTTTGGGGGTTTTGTGCGGCTGTTTTCAGAGATACTTCTAGGGACTGAAAATTTTCACCTCTTCCAAGGTGCTATGATCAAGGGCGAGGTGTTTACTTTAGTTTAGTTAGTGGGTCCTGTGCAGCACCGGAGCTGCCCCTTCACTCTGCAGCACCATGCCAGGGGGCAGCAACCCTGAGGGTGCAGCAGCAGCGGCAGGACTAGATAGCCCGTTAGCTGCAGCCTGGAGTCCACGCTGGAGGACATCTGTCACCTCCAGACAGAGTTTGCAGCTGAACGAGACTGGGACCAGTTCCATAAGCTTCGGAACCTCCTCTGGCCCTAGCTGGGGAAGTGCGAAAGCTGGCAGAGCTCTTTCAGTGGAAGCCTAATGGTGCGCCTGGACCTGATCTGAAGCAGAACGATGGGTTTGGGGAGGAGCTCAGTGATGTCCTTATTTATCTGGTAGCCATGGTGTCACGATGCCATATTGACCTGCCACAGGCTGTGCTATGCCAACCAGTGCCACTACCCGGTCCACCTGGCCCATGACTCTTCCTGCAAGTACACAGAGTTGCCCTATGAAGACATAGTGAAGGCCAAGAGCATTGGTCCTGCCCCAGGAGATGCAGAATGTGCACCTGTCTCTGGGGGAGCAGAGGAGACTAACTAAAGAACAGGATCTGTGGAACAGGGAGGGGAGTGTGGGCCTGGGCAGGGGCTGGAATTTGTGGGACTGATTCCAATGATGCTGGTGAGGGACAGCCTGGAATGGGAACCCACTGGGAAAGCAGGGACACAAAAGCCTTCTCAAAGCCTTCTTTGGTTATTACTAGAGCCTAGAAATGCAAGGTTCCTCCACCCTCCTAAATCCTACCAGAAGAGGAATGGGTGGGATATGTGAATGGAAGAGGGTCTTCTCAGGTTGTCATTTTTTTTCCTTTAATAAAACGGTTTGGGATGAAGTGAAAAAAAAAAAAAGACCAGAGCCTGTGTTCTGGTCTGTGAGTGACCACAAGTACTCTTTTCCATCTTGGACCTGTGAGGAGGATTTGCTCTCTACCACCACTACAAACTCCACCACACCAGAGCTCCTCCTTGTCCCAGGACCGCCACCCAGAACTGTGACCCAGATCAAGCATGGGCAAAGCAAGGGAATCCTGCCTCAGCACCAGTAAAGAGATCCCTGCAGTCGCCCTCTGATCAGCCACTCAATTCCCCCTCAGTTTGTGGGCCAGAAGCTCTGGAGGCAGCCGCTACCTGGGAGCCAGGCTCAGGGAATGGGGCTGGGACCTACCACATGCTTGTCTCTCACCTCAGACACAGACTTTTCCCACTGACCTTCTAAGTTGCCTTTGGCGTTCGTGGATTGAGGAGTCTGGAAACCTCCACAGCAGCCCGAGATTCAGTCCTCTGAGGCCTGCTCCAGGTTCTCTGCGGCCTGCGCGCCCACGCTGTGCTGCGCTGGGCTCCTAGCCCGGCGCGATACACCTTTCTGATCAGTCATCCAGGTTGTCTTGGGCTGGAAATTTGTTTCACTCTGTCTTTTGTGGGTTCTGCTGCTTCAGAATGAGTTTAGAGCCATTTTTTATGAGTATTTGGAGGGGTTTGGAGGAGAGCTCAAGCAAGTCACTGCTTTCACTCTGCCATCTTGGCTCCTCCGCTCTGGGCCAGGGCTTTCAAAGGAAGATGGAGAGCTGGGGCCCTTAGATAAATGAGAACCACTTTCTTTCTGGGGCAAGGGACAGGGGCCTACTTGGACCTTACCCCATCATTAGGGGATATTAGGCCAGGAGATTGTAGAAGGAGGATATTATTCTGTTACTTAGTTAATGCTTAGTTAATGTTAAGTTATCTCAGTTTGTTACAATTAATGTTAAAAGAGGAACAGTTTATGGCTTATCTTGTAAATGCCTTGAAAGAAGCATCTATTTTAATTAAGGATTATTTATTTGTACATGACTAGAAGTTGGGATTGTTTTGTTGTTTGATATGTACTGGTTTTAAATTAACTACTATGTATTGGAGTGTGTTATTAATTCCTTAGTGGAATCTCATCCTCCTGATGGGGAATATGAATTGGAAAACGTATAAAGCTAGAGGGAATACACAGTGTAGGACTAGGTTCTGATTTTTTAATTTGAGCATCCTGAAACATGACAATTGGACAAAGTTCCAGTTTTGATCTGGTCATGGTAAAGACATAGGGGTTAAGTTAATTTTCATTATTTGCCCTGGTTATTGGCAAGGTAATTTAAAATTGTGTTGAGAGGGAAGTGAGAGTCTGCTGGACACTGCTTGAACAGCACTTAGACAAGACGACTTCACCAGATGATGCCCAGAGTGTCAGACAGCGGTATGAGAAGAGACTTCTGAAGCTTTAAATGGGCAGTTTATCATTATTTTTGGGCCTCCGTATCTGCAAAGTGGAATATTTGTGAGGAGGCTTTATTCGAATTGTAAGAAATGAGAAGGGGAAATTGTGAGAGATGAACTCTCAGAAGTTAAGCCTCCTCAAAAGGTCAATAATTTTTGATTATTGTTTTCAAAATCCTCCCCCTCTCAGACCCTGTTTTTAAGCAGTAACAGAAAGAATAAGCCCTGCCCCACCCCCAACCTGAGCTGTTTGCCCTTGGCTTCCTACCTCTTTCCTTGCCTTTGAATTTTGGGCCCGGAATGTAAGCCTGACCTCCCAGTTAGAATGTAATCCCACCCCCAGTTAAGGTGGTAAGGGATAGTGGTGGGTGGAGACTTGTTTTTGTAGTGGGTGGAGACTTTGCATGGTGGGCGGAGATTTGCTTTTATAAGGCTGGCCCCTATTACGGTCTCTCTCCACGTGTATCGAAGGAGCAGACAGCCATCTCTCGAGATTGTAATAAAGGTACCTTTGCTTTCTACCTTGAGAAGTCTCTGAGTTTAATTTGGGTTAGGGTCGCTGTCACACACAGTACTTTGGTGCCGGTTTAGACCAGAAGCCAGAGGACTTGAATCAGAGGGATTAGGTCCCAAACTTGAGAGAAAAACAGTCTTCCAGAGACTAAAAGAAGGCTAACAGAGACAAAAGCAGAGTATGAAATTGTCAGAAGGACCTTCAGAAGCTGGAGGATACATGAAGGAGGGCCATTGGGGTTGTGAAGGGCCTGGAGATTATGCCAGATGAGAGTTGGTTGAAGGAACTGTGGGTATTTAGTCTAGAGAAGGGAAGACTGGGGGTTGGAAATGACATGCTAGCCATATTTAAAGGGTTAGGTTGGCCTATGGAAGAGGAGTTAGCATACTACTCTTTGGTCCCAGAGGGCAGAACCAGAAACTGTGGGTAGGATTTGCAAAGAGCAACATGAGCTCAGGAAAAACTTCCTAACAAATAGAACCATTTCTTTCATTTGAAGTCTTCAAGGGAAGGCTGGTTGGGGGATGGGGGGAAGCCATGAGTCTATCTTGATTCCTCACTTCTGACAGGAAGTCATCATTCATCTAGGAAGTAGCCCAGCCACTGGACACCAATCAGAGGAGTTCTTTGTGTCCTCTTGGCAAGTTTCCAGAGCTCATGCCTACCTCCATGAGGTTCACCTTGCCACTGAGGTCTGTACCATGGCCTCTCATCAAGTTGGTTGGAGACTTCATCAAAATGGTCAGGGAGTCCCCTGATCAACCCTCCTTACAGTTGTAAAGAGCCACATAGGGAGGAGCTTGCTAACAATGAGAGGTGTCCCCAAGTCAGATGAGTTCCTCTGGGAGGGAATGGGTTCCCCATGACAGGGGGCCTGCAAGGAAAGGCTTAGTGATGCTTATCAAGCATATTGTAAACCATGTAAACAATGGTTTACATATCTTTTAAAATAAAATTAGCTCCCAATTTTATTTATTACCTCAATAATTTTCTTATTTTCAACTTTATTAGTCTCACCTTTGGTTTTCAGGATTTCTAATTTGGTGTTTAATTGGGATTTAAAATTTGTTCTTTTTTTAAAATTTTATTTTAGTTTTTTGGGTTGTATGTCCAATTCATTGATCTGTGCTTTCTCTATTTTATGTGTTTAGAGATAAAAAAAAAATTTTCCCTTAAATACTTCTTTGGCTGCATCCCAAAAATTTTGGTATGTTATCTGATTGTTGTCATTACCTTTAATAAAATTATTGATTGTTTCTATGATTTGTTCTTTGACACACTTATTCTTTAGGTTTAGGTTATTTCATTTCCAATTAATTTTTAATCTGTCTTTCCATTACCCTTTATTGAATACAAATATATTGCACTATGATCTGAAAAAGATGCATTTGATATTTCTGCTTTTCTGCATTTGGTGGTGAGGTTTGTATATCCTAATATGTGGTCAATTTTTGTGTAGGTGCCATGTACTCCTGATAAAAAGGTATACTCATTTCTATTCCTGTTCCATTTTCTCTAGCGGTCAATCATATCTAATTTTCTAAAATTCTATTCATCCCCTTAATTTCTTTCTTTTTTATATTTATTTTTTGATTAGATTTATCTAGTTCTGAGAGGGGAAAGTTAAGGTCTCCCACTAGCATAATTTTACTATCTATTTCCTCCTCATTTAACTCATTTAACTTTTCCTTTAAAAATCTGGATGCTATACCATTTGGTGCATATGTTTAGTATTAATATTGCTTCGTTGTCCATGATAACTTTTAGTAAGATATAGTTTCTTTCCTAATCTCTTTTAATTAGATCAAATTTTGTTTTTGCTTTTTGTGAGGTCATGACTGCTACCTGTTTTTTTTTTACTTCAGCTGAAGCACAATATATTCTGCTCCAGCCACTTTATTCTGTGCATGTCTCTGTGCCTCAAGTGTGTTTCTTGTAAACAATGTGTTGTAGGATTCTGTTTTTTGATACACTTCTTTTTTTATGGGTGAGCTCATCTCATTTACATTCACAGTTATGATTACTAATTGTATTTCCCTCCATCTAACTTCCCCCCTGTCTATAAATCTCTGTCTCTGTCTTTGTCTCTCTCTACTTCTGTCTCTCTCCTCTGTCCATTCTCATCAGTGTTTTGCTTCTGATCAATGCCTCCCCCAATCTGCCTTCCCTTTTATCAGTACCCTTCCTATTCTCTTATTCCTCTCTCTTCCTAATTCTATTTTGGACAAGATAGATTTCTATACACAATTGAGTGGGTATATTATTCCCTCTTTGAGACAATTCTGATGAGAGTAAAGTTCAAGACATGCTCATCCCTGCCATCTTTCTCTCCACTATAAGAGGTCTTTGGTACATCTTTGTGTGTGATAATTTACCCCATTTTAACTTTCCCTTCTCTCTTCTCCCAGTGCAACACTCCTTTTACCCCTTCATTTTTTTTGGTAATATCATCTCATCAAACTCAACTTATACTCACACCCTCTATCTATGTATATACCTTTTAACTGCCCTGATAATGATAAAGTTCTTGAGAGTTACAAGTATCATCTTCCCCCAAAGGGATGTAAACAGTTTAATCTTGTTGAAACCCTTATGTTTGCTCTTTCTTGTTTACCTCTTTATGCTTCTCTTGAGCCTTATATTTAAAAATCTAATTTTTCTGTTCAGCTCTGTCTTTTTATCAGAAATACTTGAAAGTCTTGTATTTCATTGAATGTCTATCCCTCCTGCCATTGAAGGATTATGATCAGTTTCACTGGGTAGGTGATTCTTGGTTGTAATCTAAATGCCTTTTCCCTCTCAAATATCATATTCCAAGCCCTTGATCCTTTATTGTAGAAGCTGCTAAATCTTGTGCTATCCTGATTGTGGCTCCACGATATTTGAATTGTTTCTTTATGGCTGCTTGCAATATTTTGTCCTTGGCCTGGAGCTCTGGAATTTAGCTATGATATTCCTGGGAGTTTATATTTTGGGATCTATTTCAGGAGGTGAACATTAGATTCTTTCAATTTCTGTTTTATCTTCTGATTATAGAGTATCAGTGTAGTTTTCCTTGATAATTTCTTGAAAGATGATTGCCAGCAGCCGGCATGATGCAAGACAGAGTGGTGAAAGAAAAATGGGGAAGGGGAAATGGAGAAAGAAAAGTCGGGCTAGGCGAGTCTGAGATTAATGCTGAAAGACTAGTTTATTTCAGATGTTTCATGATTATATACCCATAGAAAACAGCTTTGTACCATGAGAAATGATCTACAAGTGCTAATTAATAACATACACAAACTAAGCAGCTAAAGATCCTCATTTTCTCATGAGAAAGTAGTTTTAATGACAAAATTCATAGCTTTTGTTTCCCTGCCCAGTTCTTAGTCTTGTCTGCCAGAGTCAGCCACCTGGCCTCAAGGCTGGGCATGAGTGAGAACTTAGAACCAACAAACTATAACAAGTGGAATTAGGGCAAGACTCATGGGAGGGTTTATCCTGAGGCAAGCCTCTATACATACTGACCCCTTAAGTCTATAAGGACTTACAGATTTTCCATAAGGACGGCTCCCTACAGATGATGTCTAGACTCTTTTTTCGATCGTGGCCTTCAGGTAGTCCAAGAATTCTTAAATTATCTCTCCTGGATCTATTTGCCAGGCTATGTGTTTTTTCAATGAGATATTTCACATTGTCTTCTATTTTTTCATTCTTTTGATTTTGTTTTATTATTTCTTGATGTGTCATGGAGGCGCTAGCTTCCACTTCTCCAATTCTAATTTTTAAGGAATTATTTTCTTTGGAGAGCCTTTGTACCTCCTTTTTCATATGGCCAATTCTATTTTTTAAGGAGTTGTTTTCTTTAGTGGATTTTTGTCCATCTTTTTCAATTTTGTGCTTCCTTTCTCAATCTAATGACTCTTTTTTCATGCTTCTCTTACATTATTCTCATTTCTTTTCCCAATTTTTCTTTCTCCTTTCTTATTTGATTTTAAAATTCCTTTTTGAGTTGTTCCAGGAGTTCTTTTTAGGCCTGAGACCAATTCATATTTTTCTTTGAGGCTTTGCATGCCGGTGTTTTGACATTGTTGTCCTCTTCTGAGTTTGTGTTTTGATCTTCCCTGTCACCATGGTAACATTCTGTGGTCAAGTTCTTTTTTAAAATTTTTATTTTTTTCTCATTTTTCCAGCCTATTTTGTGACTTTTAAAGTTGGGCTCTACTCCTAGGAGGCACTGTCCCAAGCTTCTTGTGTTGGGGGCCTGGTGCCTGGCTGCTAGCCTGATGGCTAGAGCCATGGGACCTCACCTCTGACCTGCACAGGGGTTTGGAGCTTCCTGCTGGCTTTCTGGGGTTTGGCCAATTTCTGGCTTGCATGGGTTATGCTCCCTTTTCACCTTAGTGAGACAATGTTTCCTGCTGACCTTCTAAGTTGTCTTGGGCCCTGTCTTTCCTATTAGTTCTGTCACTCCAGAATTCATTTTAAGGCATTATTTTATAGTTTTCTGGAGGTAAGCTTGGGAGAGTTTGGATGAGTTCTTTCTTTATTGCATTGCTTTGGCTCCATTCCCCAAATTTTTTAATGATGTGGGAGACATGGGCATGTTTGTATGCAGCAGTGATATGGCCAAAAGTCCTAGAGAAATTAGCAAGAGAGAAGGAATTACATAAGGGGCAATCTGCTGGAGATAATGGAATGGAATGGGATGATTTGTGCATGTAGAGAGATTTGCCTATATGAGAAGGAGAAGGGAAAGGGCCATCTAGTCTTTCATACGAGACAGGGATGAAGGAGGAGATAGTGTCCAAATACATCTGAATGAGATGAGTTGAGGAGGGAAGAAGAGGGAGCTTTCAGTGAATGGGCTTCTTTTTTCACAGTGAACTATGAGGTAAGATTCTCAGTTGAGAGAGAGGCAAGATGAAGAGCCATGGAGGTTAGGGGGGCCATGCAAAGGTGTGAAAGGGCTGCTGTGGTAAGTCGAATAGTAAATCAATTAGGGAGGTGTAAGAATGACTTGCAGCCTTGCTAGACCAACCATGTTTACTCCAATGTTTTGAATCAATCTGGTTGCAACTAGCTTAATGATTTCTAGACTGGCTAGGATCAAGTTCTTGTCCCACCACATCATGATTCTTGTGCAATATCATTCCAGTTCAGAGGATTTTTCCTATTTAGTGTAAAGATCTTACCTTGTTAATTTAGCAAAGAAAAATGGGGTAAGGTAGTTTCAACCCCACCTTGACATGTGGAATCCTGTCTCTACTTGCCTCTATTTTTTTTTTATTTCTCTTTCTTCAAGATTCAGCTCAAATCCTTCAGCCCTGGATCCACATCTCCTAGTGCTTTCTCTTCTGAGATGACCTTCCATCCACTCTGAATATATCTACTTATTAGCCTGTTGCCTCTTCCAATAAAATGTCAGCTCCATGGGTATGGACTGTTTTTACTTTTCTTTATATCTCCAGCACTTATCACAGTGCCTGGTTCAGAGCAGGAAGGATTTAATACATGATTTTTTATTGATTAACTGATTGACAGCTTCTTTGGAGGAAAAGTCAGGAGAAGATAATGGCCATCATGTCTAACTATAACTGGTACTAGTATAGGCACCAGCAGAACTGATACCAGGGCAGTGAGGTATGGTTGCAGTCCCCAAACTGCAAGCATTTTGCCCTAGTTTGTATTCCAGGCCAAGAAAAGCCCAGGTGCTTTGGAAGCTGAAACAATTGTCCATATATTCAGATCAACAATTTGTCAGAGAAGAGACCAGGATGATTAAATAGCTAGAAGAAAGAATAATAATGAGAAAAACATAGAGCATAGATTGAAACAACTCATCTAAATGAGTTGGCAAAATTTGAAAGGATGGTTTGTAACCATCTAGAAAGGACAGCAATGATCAATAAATACTGGGCTCCATCAGGCTTACATCATGCAAGATTGACCTAATTTTTTCAAAAGGGTAATTAGATTGTAACGACAGGAGATAGTGTGGACATATATCTAGATTTTAGGCAAGTATTTGACTTTTACTGTCTTTATGAATAAGGTATAGTGATGTGGCCTAGCCATGAGGTGATAGGTGGATTTGCAACTACTTGACTGAGCAGACCTGAAAAGTTGTTAGCAGGCTGGCATCAGTTTGGAAGGAGGTCTATGATGAGGCACCTCAGTAATCTCTCATTGGCCCTAGGCTCTATAGCCTTGGGCTAGTTTATTTGGACAGAGGGACAGGTGCCATTCTTATTAAATTTGTAGAGAAGAGAAAAATGAGCTGATTATCTTGTGTGTTCAATGACAGAATCAGGATCTAAGAAATGCTGACAGCTGGCTCCAAGTGCTTCACGGGTTTCAAAGATCTCACTTAATGTGAATGTCTTCCCTCTGAGATTGTCTATAGCCTTGTCAGGTGTGTTGCAAGGAAATTCTTGATGAGATACAAGTTGAAGTAGATGGCCCTGAAGGTCCACTCTAGTTCTAAAATGCAATGGCTGGGCCATCATCAGTCTTGACTTATGTCTTGCCACAGGACTCTGATGACTCTGGAGGAGAGAGTGAGGCTGATGACTTTGTACAGCTGCCTCACTTAAATCCAATTCACCTGCAAGTCAAGACTTTGCCCTCCTGAAGTCCCTGGTCCTCTTTGAGAAGGAAGGACAAACAAAAACAACATATAGTGACTGTGATTTAAGCTAATTTTCTTTGTCATACATTAACCCTGAATGTGTGTTTAACTTGGAATTTACCTTTAATCCAAGGTAAGGTAATCCCTTTGATTTGGGATTAACCTACTTTCATTCTTCTTCATTCACTTTGTTTTCTTTGTTAATCTAAAATGAGCATAGCTTCTTCCCCTAGACTCATTGCCTTGAAAACTGGTGTGGCTGTGAGTGTCTGTAAGCTAGTGAGTGGGCAGGCAATGTGCAGAGTTCCCACAATGTCTCTAAGGGCTTTGACCTTGGAAGGAACTTCCTTTTGACAAGAAGTCACTGAAGCACAGAGAAACCACTGAAGAAACATCAACTTGAGGTTTATCTCCCTCAGTTTCCTCAGCAGTAAAACAAGAATAGTAGCACCTACCTCATAGGCTTGTTGTGAGGATCAAATAATACAATACGTGTAAAGTTCTTAGCACAGTGTTCTCTGGTCTTCACATTTGACTTGTTACTTGTAGAGGATTTTTCAAACAGCCTCTGAGTATTTGAAGGGGATTATGGGAGAGAACTAGTTTCATTCAATCTATGAAACATTTGTTAATCACCCACCATATGTAGAAGGTATCTTCCTTCCCTACATACAAGACACTTGTACTAGACTGCTGTCTTTGTGTCCACAGTGAGAGAATCTGGTCTTCACATTTGAGGCAATCAGGTATCTTACTATCTCCTCAGATTATATCTTTTAAGCAATGGGGAGGAGCCTGAGACCTGCAGAATGAGCAAAACGTGAAGCTGTGGATTTCTCAGTTAGGAAGTTACTGTACCGTTAAAAGGGAGTATGTGACTTTGTCCTCTTGGTAAGACACATGATGTTATAGTTATACAATGGAGCCTTTCATAGGAGAGGGCTGAGAGAGTGGTGCAGCATACTCAGCAATTTAGGAAGCAAGAGGACGGGCTGCAAACAACTGGAACCTGGAAATAAAAGCAGGTGAGGAGGGAGGGAAGGAGAGAGAGAGAGACAGACAGAGATAGAGACAGAGAGAGACAGAGTCAGAGAAAGAGAGAGAGACACACACAAAGACAGACAGACACAGAGACAGAAACAGAGTGAGAGACAGACACAGAGAGAGAAAGAGAGAGACAGAGAGAGACAGAAGGAGACAGAGAGAGACACACACAAAGACAGGGAGATAGACACAGAGACACAGAAAGACAGAGTGAGAGACAGACACAGAGAGAGACAGAGAGACAGACTGGCAGACACACAGAGAGAGAGAGAGAGAGAGAGAGACAGAGAGACAGAGAGACAGAGACAGAGAGACAGAGACAGAGACAGAGAGAGACAGAGAGAGACAGAGGAGCAGGGAGGTATGAAGAGAGAGAAAAGAAGGGAGAAAGCCCAGAGCCCTGGCATAGCTTCCTTGCTCTACTAACCCAGCACTAGTTGAGCCTCTGCATTGGGCAGGAAGGCATCTCCTTCCCATCCTGCCGTAGTCTAAGGGGACTCCTGGGCTTCTCCAGCCCTTTCTTCTTCTGCCCCCATTGACCTTGGTGAGGTCACTTGCTCTGGAGCAGCAGAAGGCTAGACAAAGAATGAGGAAGACCTGGGTTCAAATCTTTCCTCTGACAGAAAGTGTTTGACCCTTGGGAAGTCAATTAACCTCTCTGAGCCTCAGTTTCCTCATCTGTGAAGTGAAGGAGTTGGGCTAGATGGCCTCTCTAGAGCCTCTCTGCTTCATTTTCCTGTCCTACAAAAGTGAGGGGTCTGGGCAAAATAGTCTCTAAGGACCCTTTGAGCACTAAAGCTGATTCTTTGCTGTGACTTCTCTCCTTCAGTCTCCAAGCAGCTGGTCTCCAGAGGGGTTGAGAGAGGGTTGGAGCAGCAGAGGGCAGAATGGGGGTAGGCTTCTCCCACTCAGGCAGGGGTGTATTTCAATTCCAAGGGCATGAAGTGAACTCCAAGGGGATGCAGCTAAGGTGGGCAGGAGGAAGTTCTAAGGGCTCAGTCTGATCTCTTCTGTAGGGTCTCCAGGAGACAGAGACAGAAACACCAATGGCTTCCTACCACATCAGGAGATACCACGACCAAGACTGGGAGCCTGTGAGGGAATTATTCTCTGAGGGATTACTGGGGAATATGCCTTCTGAGTTCTGGCATTTGCTGAAGAAGCCAAGAATCTTCCTGGTCCTCCTGGGGGTGCCCTTTGCCCTGGTCTTGGGCTCTGGTTCCCTCGTCCTGTGTCTCCTGTCTTTACTGGGCCTCTTAGCTGGCCAGTGGCTGAGTTTTAGGCATTGTGTAATACGGTATGTAGATAATTCCTTGCATGCTGACCTGTTGGATATCCAGAAATCCTACCTGAGTGGGACAGGCTCCAGTTTTTGGGTGGCAGAGTCTGAGCACCAGGTAGTGGGCATTGTGGGTGCCCATCGAGCAAAGAGGCCAATTGGACGAGGAAACTATCTGGAATTGCAACGCTTGTCTGTGAAGAGCACTTATCGAGGCAAAGGGCTGGCCAGGACATTGGTCCAGACTGTGCTCCAGCTTGCCCGGGATCAGGGGTATGATGGAGTGGTTCTTGAGACTACCAACTCCAATTACCCAGCTCGACGACTTTATGAGAGTCTTGGCTTCTGGAAATCCCATGAATCAGGATATTACTTGAACTGGTGGCAAGGTTTCCTCTCACTTTGGTGTTACCAATATGATTTTTCCTCCCAGGCATAAATGTCCCCTGCCCCAACCCTTTCTTGTCTCTCTGTGCTTCTTGGGTTTGTTTATAGGATTCACAAGAGTGTGCTGTGCTTATTAAAGGTTGTTGACTTTCTTGCCATGCTTGACTGGTTATTTCCTTGTTACAAAGGCCCTTATCAAAAAATCATTTTGGATTGATTGAGGAGAAATCACAGAGAAAGACAGTTCTGTATTAAAAGTCACTGAGGGAGTATCCTGTATTTTAAATATTTTGAGGGAGAATAATAAGGATTTCCCTGGCCCAGATGGTGATTACATTTTTACCCATCATACTTTTTTCTCCCCCCCTCCCTTAAGTATTTGTGTCCCCAGCAAAACATTGGGTGCATTTGGCACATGCTTCTGTATCCCCAATTCCACAAAGTTCTCTGGAAAGGCTCAAACACTGTCCCTTTGAGAATCTCCCTCTAGTGCTGTGTACACTAGAGTTTCAACCACAACTATCTGGCATTTCTCTAAATGACCTCTAAAGGAGAGTAGGGAGGTCCCCAGGGAGTCTGTTCAGCGTTATCCTTAGATAATCTCCCAAACACTAATGGTCAGTGTTGTTGCTTGGGTGACTGTGTCTCCCTACGTTACCTAGGCTAGAAATGCAGCAGCCCCTTAGAGGTCCCTTAGAGAAGCTTTACCCTGGGTCATATGGCTGTTCTTTTAGCACCCTGGTGGCCCTTTGCCAGGTGGGGATCATGCTATTAGTGTGAGACACTCAAGCTTAGCTTTGGCCTTCCTTCAGCTCTGGCCTCCTGAACTCAAGTAATCCATCACATTCATCTTCCCCAGTAGCCAAGGAATACGGATGTGCCCCAGTGAGTAGGGCTTGAAATGTACAGTCTTCAGGGAGGCTTGCCACAGCTGTTAGATCTAGAGATTAGAACCACCCCTAAATACAAAGATTTTTGTTTTGAGCTATTGAGATTCTATCCTCTCTCTCTCTCTGTCTCTCTGTTTCTCTCTCTGTCTCTCCTCTCTCTCCCAATCTCTGTCTCTCCCATTGGGTCTCTGTCTCTCTGTTGGTTTATTCATTTATTCATTCATTCACTCTCTTCCTCCATCCCCATATGTAGTTATGCAAATTCAAAAAACAGGGGACATTAGCAAGGCTAATGCTAAGTTAACTGTGCCTTGTACTTATAAGGGACCTGTCCCAGTGGAAGCCATTATAAAGAAAATAAAATGAGAAAAACTGACATTAAATAAACAACTCACAAAAGTGAAAAATATAGCCAAAAGGAAAATCTGAGTTCCTCCTCTCAGGGAAAAACTTTATTCCTAGATGTGTTTTTAGAACCTATTTACTCAAGTGCCCCCAGTAGGGATCTGGAAGCTGGGATATACTGGAAATTTCTCCCTCACCTTGGATGAGAAAAATTGACCAGCCCTCTGTAGAAATTCCTCCATGAATCTGATGGGGTGCTTGGACCCCAATTCCATGACCATGTTTCTCCCTAGTCTCAGAAACACTATCCTTGGCAGTTTCCCCCCAGCCCAAGGACACTGTGCCTAGCAATTACTCACGAGTGGGCCCCAGCAAGAACCTTATCTCTTTCCCTGGTGCAGTTACAAACAGCACCTGAAGGAATTCTTAGTTTGAACTGGCTTTGTACTGGGTCATAAAGATATGCTAACCCACTGGACTATCCATACTACTGCCCTACCTCATTATCTACCTCCTGGACTCCTTATCTGTATTCTAGACCTAAGACATATACATACTCCCTACATCTATCTTGTCAAACAAGACATTGACTGGTGGCAAACTGGACAACTCTCAGTTACCCCTGACTTCTAGTTAACTTAGTGATGTAGCAGGCCTAAAACCACACCTCCAAGTGGGCCCTTTTATGGGCTTTTCCTGGAGAACTCTGCGTAAAATGCCGCACAGTAGATATAAAAAGTGCATGTTCCTTTAAGAACTGACCACTCTTTAACCACTCCCTGTTCCCACACTGAATCACGTAGTTAGCATATTTGACACATGTTTTATTGTATTTTATCCTATATAACCTTTAACTGTACCCCTCTAAGGTCACAGGTTTCTTAAGAATCCTTGCATGCTCAAAAGCGTAACAACAAACTTTTTGAGAACTTGACTTAAAGAATGCTTGAGTCTGAATTCGTTTCAGATGATCCTGTCCTGTATTCCACGCTTTGAGGAACCTCAGCCTCTCAGACTGCAACAAATCCATTTGATACAACAATGTTAACCCGTTATAGTCTCCCAATAGATCTCCTAAAAATACAAAGGGTCGTGCAGATGGAGTACTAGAGAAAATATCTCCTGGTATCCTGCCAATGCATTGGGCAAAACAAATGGAGGAGCAAATATACTTGACAGAAAGACAAGCAGGCTCAGTTCAAAAAGAAAGGAAACATCCTCAGGGGACCCCTGAACACGTGTTTCCTCCCTATCCCCCATGGGAGTGAGCCTGAAGTGTTGCTTGGAATCCACCCATTACAGTAGGAAGACATTGGCTGAGACAGTGAAGAAGTTGGATAATGGAGATGGATGCTTAGGTGCCACTTTAGACCTGGAATCGGAGGGTTTGGATCAGAGGGAGTAGGTCCCAAACTTGAAAGAAAAACATTCTTCCACAGACTAAAAGAAGGCCAACAGAGACAAAAATAGAGAATGAAATTGTCAGGAGGACCTTCAGAAGCTGGAGGATACATGGAAGAGGGCCATTAGGGATGGTGACGGGCCTGGAGATTATGCCAGATGTGGGTATTTAGCCTAGAGAAGGGAAGACTGGGGAGTTGGAAATGACCTGCTAGCCATATTTAAAAGGTTGGGTTGGCCTATGGAGGAGAGATTAGAATACTACTCTTTGGCCCCAGAGGGCAGAACCAGAAACTGTGGGTAGGATTTGCAAAGAGCAACGTGAGCTCAGGAAAAACTTCCTAACAATTAGAACCATTTCTTTCATTTGAAGTCTTCAAGGGAAGGCTGGTTGGGGGATGGGGGGAAGCCATGAGTCTATCTTGATTCCTCACTTCTGACAGGAAGTCATCATTCATCTAGGAAGTAGCCCAGCCACTGGACACCAATCAGAGGAGTTCTTTGTGTCCTCTTGGCAAGTTTCCAGAGCTCATGCCTACCTCCATGAGGGTTCACCTTCCCAGTGAGGTCTGTACCATGGCCTCTCATCAAGTTGGTTGGAGACTTCATCAAAATGGTCAGGGAGTCCCCCGATCAACCCTCCTTACAGTTGTAAAGAGCCACATAGGGAGGAGCTTGCTAACAATGAGAGGTGTCCCCAAGTCAGATGAGTTCCTTTGGGAGGGAATGGGTTCTCCAATCAGAGGAGGTGTGCAAGGAAAGGCTTAGTGATGCTTGTCAAGCATATTGTAAATGATGTAAACAATGTGAACGATAGTTTACATATTTTATTATTTTTTCCCATAAAATCAGGTCCCAATTTTATTTATCACCTCAATAGTTTTCTTATTTTCAATTTTATTAATCTCACCTTTGGTTTTCAGGATTTCTAATTTGGTGTTTAATTGGGGATTTAAAATCTGTTTTTTTTTTGGGGTTGTATGTTCAATTCGTTGATATGTCTCCATAGTAACATTCTGTGGTCAGATTCTCTTTCTTTCTTTCTTTCTTTCTTTCTTTCTTTCTTTCTTTCTTTCTTTCTTTCTTTCTTTCTTTCTTTCTTTCTTTCTTTCTTTCTTTCTTTCTTTCTTTCTTCCTTCCTTCCTTCCTTCCTTCCTTCCTTCCTTCCTTCCTTCCTTCCTTCCTTCCTTTCTCATTTTCCAGCCTATTTTGCGACTTTTAAAGTTGAGATCTGCTCCTAGGAGGCACTGTCCCAAGCTTCTTGTGTTGGGGGCCTGGTGCCTGGCTGCTAGCTTGCAGGGCTAGAGCTATGGGGCTCACCTCTGACCTGCACAGGGGTTTGGGGCTTCCTGCTGGCTTTCTGGGCTTTGGCCAACTTCTGGCTTGCATGGGCTGTGCTCTCACCTTAGTGAGACAGTGTTTCCTGTTGACCTTCTAAGTTGTCTTGGGTTGATAGACTGTTTTACCCTGTCTTTTTGCTAGTTCTGTCACTCCAGAAGTCATTTTGAAGTGTTATTTTATAGTTTTCTGGAGGTAAGTTTAGGAGAGTTCAGGCCATTTCTTGCTTTATTCCAACATTTTGGCCCTGCTCCCTGAATTTTTTTTAAGGACATAGAAGACATGGGCATGTTTGTAGGCAGGAACAATATAGCAATCAGTCCTGGAGAGATTAGCAAGAGAGTAGGGATAACATAGGGGGCAATCTGCAAAAGATGATGAGATAGAAAGGGATGATTTGTGCATGTAGAGGAATTTGCCTGTATGAGAAGGAGAAGGGGAAGGCCATCTACTCTTTCATATGAGACAGGGATGAAGGAGGAGATAGTGTCTAAAAACATCTGTATGATGTGAGTTGAATAGAAGAGAGAGTTCTCAGTGAATGGCCTCCATTTCTCACAGTGAACTATGAGGTAAGACTTTCAGTTGTGAGAGAGGCAGGATGAGGACCCATGGGAGTTAAGGAGGGATGCAAAGGTGTGAAAGGGCTGCTGTGGTAAGTAGAATAGTACAATTAGGAGGTGTAAGAATGACTTGCAGCTTTGCTAGACCAACCATGCTTACTCCAGTTTTGAATCAATCTGGTTGTAACTAGCTTAATGATTTCTAGACTGGCTAGGGTCAAGTTATTTTTCTACCACAACATGATCCTTGTGCATTATCACTCCAGTTCAGAGGATTTTTCCCATTCAGTCAAAAAATCTCACCTAGTTAAGTTATCAAATAAAAATGGGTTAAGGTAGTTTCAACAGGGGAATCCTGTCCCCACTTGCCTCTGCTTTTTCATTTCCCTGTCTTCCTTCAAGACTCAGCTCAAATCCTTCAGCCCTGGACCCTCATGTGCTAGTGCTTTCTCTTCTGAGATGACCTTCCAGCCACTCTGAATACATCTACTCATTAACCTGTTGCCTCTTCCATTAAAATGTAAGCTTCATGGGCATGGACTGTTTTTACCTCTTTTTGTATCTCCAGCACTTAGCACAGTGGCTGCTATAGAGTAGGAAGGATTAAATACATGATTTTTCATTGATTAACTCATTGATGGCTTCACTGGATGAAAAGTCAAATGGGGAAGATGATGGCCATCATGTCTAACTCTAACTGGTACTAGTATAGGCACCAGCAGAACTGATACCAGGGCAGTGAGGTATGGTTGAGGTCCCCAAACTGTGAGCCTTTTCCCTTAGTTTGTATTCCAGGTCAAGAATACCCCAAGTGCTTTGGAAGCTGAAACAATTGTTTATATGGTCAGATTGACAATTTGTCAGAGAAGAGACCAGGATGATTAAATAGTTAGATGAAAGAATAATGATGAGAGAAATATAGACCAAAGATTGAAACAACTCATCTAAACGAGTTAGCAAAAATCTAAAGGGATGGTTTGTGGCCATCTAGAAAGGACAGCAGTGATCAGTAAATGCTGGGCTCCATCAGGTTTACATCATGCAAGATTGACCTTATTTTTCCAAAAGGGTAATTAGATTGTAAAAACAGGAGATGCTGTGGACATATATTTACTAGATTTTAGGCAAATATTGGACTTTTACTGTCTTTATGGATAAAGTATAGTGATGTGGTCTAGCCGTGACATTATTTGCAACTACTTGACTGAGCAGATCCAAAAAGAAGTTGTTAGCAGGCTGGTATCAGTTTGGAAGGAGGTCTATGATGAGGCACCCCAGTAATCTCTCATTGGCCCTAGGTTCTATAGCCTTGGGCTAGTTTATTTGGACAGAGGGACAGGTGCCATTCTTATCAAATTTGTAGAGAAGAGAAAAATGAGCTGATTATCTTGTGTGTTGGATGACAGAATCAGGATCTAAGAAATGACAGCTGGCTCCAAGTGCTTCACAGGTTTCAAAGATTTCACTTAATGTTAGTGTCTTCCCTCTGAGATTGTCTATAGCCTTGTCAGGTGTGTTGCAAGGAAATTCTTGATGAGATACAAGTTGAAGTAGATGGCCCTGAAGGTCCATTCTAGTTCTAAAATTCAGGGTCTGGGCCATCATCAGTGGTCTTGACTGTTGAGGTCCGGCTCTAAGAGTCCAATCTGGGTTTAAGATCCAGGACAGAATTTGACTCTTGCCCAGGCTTAACCCACAGGGCTCAATCATTTAGGAAGCAGGGCTCTCCACACCTCCCCCTGCAAGGGAGGCTTCTGAGACATTCCTTCTCATTCTTTGAACCTTAGATTTACACATTCACTCCTCTATGCAGGTGGCACCAAGGCACCTGGGAAAACCTTGGAAAATACAACCCAATCTAGGAACCCTGATAACGAGGAAATGTATGTTGTCACGTCCTCAGCAGATGTTTTGGGGAATGTCTCACAAGAAGAACTCTTTGCAGTTAGGCTAGATTTTCTCTTTATATCCTGTACCCTCCGATGAATAAACTGAGTCAGTTCTGCTGCTCCGCCTGGCCCATGTCTCTAGTTTATTTCGCGCTCTCCTGTTCGGTGCACTGTTTGATTGCTGGCAACATTGACTTATGCCTTGCCACTGGACTCTGATGACTCTGGAGGAGAGAGTGAGGCTGATGACTTTGTACAGCTCTGCCTCACTTAAATCCAATTCACCTGCAAGTCAAGACTTTACCCTCCTGATGTCTCTGGTCCTCTTTGAGAAGGAAGGACAACAACAACAACAATAGACAGTGACCTTGATAAGCTAATTTTCTTTGTTATTTATTGATTAGAGTTAGAAGGGCTTAAGTTTCCACAGGTAGAATAATGCAGAGATTTAAAGAACAACAGCCCCAGGAAGTAGTACATTGTAAAAGTAAGTGGATGGTTCCATAAAGACCCCCAAATCAAGATAAGGGTCAAGCCAGCTCAGACCAGTTAGGGTCAACCTGAGGACACCTGAAAAATGTTAGTGCGCCTGCTTAATTAACTTCATTACTATATCTGACACACCCCGCATAAAATTAGAGCCTCATTAACGAGTCATGGGACGTATGACCAAGGGAGGGGAAACATACTTGAGCATATCAAGGGGAAACATGTAATGAAAGGTGTAACCTGGGAAGGGATGGACCAATCCCGGCCTGGGAGATTTCATGCCGAATTCAACAGCATAAAAGCACACTTGCCCTTGCACTCAGGGCCCACCCCTCCTGAAGAGGGGTGGAGCCCACTTCTGGCCAGAAAGGTCTAAATCCTCTGGACTTTCTTTATAATAAATTTTCTTGATACTAAATTTTTGGTGTCAAGCTTATTTCTAACATTTATTAACTCTGAATGTGTCTTTAACTTGGACTTTACCGTTAAGACCTTTGCTTTGGGATTAACCAACATTCAGTCTTCTTAGTATACTTTTTTTTGTTTGTTAATCTAAAATGAGCATAGCTCCTTCCCTTAGACTCATTGCCTTGAAAACTGGTGTGGCTGTGAGTGTCTACAAGCTAGTGAGTGGGCAGGCAATAGGCAGAGTTCCCACAATCACCCAAGGGCTTTGACCTTGGAAGGAACTTCTTTTTGACAAGAAGTCACTGAAAGGGGCATCTAGGTGGTGCAGCAGATAGAGCACTGGTCCTAGAATCAGGAACACCTAGTTCAAAGCCCTGCCTCAGGCACATAACTGGCACTAGCTGTGTGACTCTGGGCAAGTCACTTAACCTCATATAAAAAACAAAAAAAATGCTAAAAAAAAGTTACTGAAGCACAAAGGAACCACTGAAAAGACATCAACTTAATGCTTGTCTCCCTCAGTTTCCTCAGCAGTAAAACAAGAATAACAGTAGCACCTACCTCATAGGGTCATTGTGAGGATCAAATGAAATAATATGGGTAGAGTTTTTAGCACAGTGTTCTCTATCAATCTGGTCTTCACATTTGACTTGTTACTTGTAGAGGATTTTTCAAACAGCCTGTGAGTGTTTTAAGGGGACTATGGGAAAGAATTAGGTCCATTCAATCCATCACACATTTATTAATCACCCACTATATGTAGAAGGCATCTTCCTTCCCTATGTACAAGACACTTGTGCTAGACTTCTGTCTGGTGTCCACAGTGCCTAACACAGTGCCTCCTCTTTGGGATGCACTTAAGAAACAGTTGTTTGAATGAAGAAAGAAATGAATGCTTGCTAGGTGCTGAGGATAATAACATAAAACTAAAAAAGGGTACCTGTCCTCAAAGAGATTATATTCAACTGAGGGGAAATAAGTCAAGTCAACAAGCATGAATTAAGCATCCACTGTGTGTCAGGCAATGTGCTGGGGATACAAAGAGAAAAATGTCGCTTGCCCTCAAGGGCCTCACAATCTACTGGGGGAAAAGATGTGGAAACAGTTATGTACAAACAAGATAGAAATTGCATAAAATTGAGACAATTTGGTCTTCACATTTGAGGCAATCAGCTATTTTACTACCTCCTCAGATTGTATCTGCTAAGCAGCGGGCAGGAGGTTGAGACCTCCAGAATGAGTGAAAGGTGAAGCCTTGGATTTCTCAATCAGCAAGCTACTATATACCTAAAGGGGTGTGTGTGATTGTCCTTTGGTATGACATGTAGTTTTTCAATCATAAATTGGAGCCTTTCGTAGGAGAGGGCTGAGAGAGTGGTGCAGCATAATCAGAGATTTAGGAAACAAGACAACTAGCAGCAAAAAACTGGAGCCTGGAAATACAGCAGGTGAGGAGGAGGAGAGAGACAGAGAGACAGAGAGAGACAGACACATACACAGAGACAGAGACACACAGTGACAGAGAGAGACAGAGACAGAGACAGAGTCACAGAGAGAGAAACAGATACAGAGAGAAAAGAGAGGGGAAGGTGGAGGGAAGGGGAGAGAAAGAGACAGAAACACAGAGACACACAGAGAGATAGACACAGAGACAGAGACAACAAGACAAAAAGAGATAGAGACAAAGAGACACAGAGAGACACACAGAGAGACAGATGGAAAGAGAGGAGGGAGAGGGGGGAGGAAGAGAGAGAAAGAGAGAAAGAAGACACAGAGACAGAGGAGAAAGAAAGAAGAGAGGGTAGGTAGCCGGAGGGAGGAAGGGAGGAAAGGAAAGTGAGAAGAGGGGCACGATTTGGGGGAAGGGAAGAAAGGGAGGGAGATAGACAGAAATACAGAGACAGAGAGAGGCAAAGAAGAGAAGGGAGAAAGCCCAGAGCCCTGGCATAGCTTCCCTGCTCTACGAACCCAGCACTAGTTGAGCCTCTGCATTGGGCAGGAAGGCATCTCCTTCCCATCCTGCCGTAGTCTAAGGGGACTCCTGGGCTTCTCCAGCCCTTTCTTCTTCTGCCCCCATTGACCTTGGTGGAAGTCACTTGCTCTGGAGTAGCAGAAGGTTAGACAAGGAGTGTGGAAGACCTGGGTTCAAATCTTTCCTCTGACAGAAAGTGTTTGACCCTTGGGAAGTCAATTAACCTCTCTGAGCCTCAGTTTCCTCATCTGTGAGGTGAAGTAGTTGGGCTAGATGGCCTCTCTAGAGCCTTTCTGCTTCATTTTCCTGTCCCACAAAAATGAGGAGTCTGGGCAAAATAGTCTCTAAGGACCCTTTGAGCACTAAAGCTGATTCTTTGCTGTGACTTCTCTCCTTCAGTCTCCAAGCAGCTGGTCTCCAGAGGGGTTGAGAGAGGGTTGGAGCAGCAGAATGGGGGTAGCCTTCCCCCACTCAGGCAGGGGTGTATTTCAATTCCAAGGGCATGAAGTGAATTCCAGGAGATCAGTGGTGCAGCTAAGGTGGGCAGGAGGAAGTTCTAAGGGCTCAGTCTGATCTCTTCTTTAGGATCTCCAGGAGACAGAGACAGAAACACCAATGGCTCCTTACCATATCAGGAGATACCAGGACCATGATTGGGAGCCTGTGAGGGAATTATTCTCTGAGGGAATGCTGGGGAGTATGCCTTCTGAGTTCTGGTGTTTGCTGAAGAAGCCAAGAATCTTCCTGGTCCTCCTGGGGATGCCCTTTACCCTTGTCTTGTACTCTGGTTCCTTTGTCCTGTGTCTCCTGTCTTTATTGGGCCTCTTAGCTGGCCAGTGGCTGAGTTATAGACATTTTATAATAAGGTATGTAGATAAATCCTTGCATACTGACCTGTTGGATATCCAGAAATCTTACCTGAGTGAGAGAGGCTCCAGTTTCTGGGTGGCAGAGTCTGAGCACCAAGTTGTGGTCATCGTCAGTGCCTGTCCACCATTGAGGCCCATTGGAGGAAGAAACTATGTGGAATTGCTCCACTTGCCTGTGAAGAGGACTTATCGAGGCAAAGGGCTGGCCAGGACCTTGGTCCAGATTCTGCTCCAGTTTGCCAGGGATCAGGAGTATGATGGAGTGGTTCTTGAGACTACCAACTCCAATCACCCAGCTCGACAACTTTATGAGAGTCTTGATTTCTGGAAATACCGTGAATCAGGGTATGACTTGAAATGGTGGCTAGGTTTCATCTCAGTTTGGCATTACTGATATGATTTTTCTTCCCAGAAATGACTGTCCCCCTGCCCCAATCCCTCCATGTCCTTCATGGGTTTGTTTATAGAGTCCACAACAGTGTGCTATGCTTACTTAAGGTTGTTGACTTTCTTGCCATGCCTCACTGGTTATTTCCTTGTTTCAAAAGGCCCTTATCAAAAAATCATTTTGGATTGAGGAGAAATCACAGAGAAAGGCAGTTCTGTATTAAAAGTCACTGAGGGAGTATCCTGTATTTTAAATTTTTCGAGGGAGAATAATAAGGATTTCCCTGGCCCAGATGGTGATTACATTTTTACCCATCATACTTTTTTCTCCCCCCCTCCCTTAAGTATTTGTGTCCCCAGCAAAACATTGGGTGCATTTGGCACATGTTCTGTATCCCCAATTCCACAAAGTTCTCTGGAAAGGCTCAAACACTGTCCCTTTGAGAATCTCCCTCTAGTGCTGTGTACACTAGAGTTTCAACCACAACTATCTGGCATTTCTCTAAATGACCTCTTAAGGAGAGTAGGGAGGTCCCCAGGGAGTCTGTTCAGCGTTATCCTTAGATAATCTCCCAAACACTAATGGTCAGTGTTGTTGTTTGGGTGATTGTGTCTCCCTCCATCATCTAGAAATGCAGCAGCCCCTTGGAGGGCCTGATCCCCCTGCTTATCTTCAAAGAAGCTTTACCCTGAGTCACGGGGGTCCTCTTTCGGCAGCCTGGTGGCCCTTTACCAGGTGGGGATCATGCTATTAGTGTGGAAACCCAAGTTTGCCTTTGGCCTTCCTTCAGCTCTTAACTCCTGAACTCAAGTAATCCACCACACACATCTTCTCCAGCAGGAAAGAAATACAGATATGCCCCAGTGTGTATGGCTAGAAATGATGGTCCTTCATTCTTGAAGAGGACCAAAATTATATTACTATGTCATAGTCAAGTTACAGTGTGTCTGACTGTGGCTGATCATACCAATATGAGCTCAGAATGCTCCACCACAGGTAAGGCACAAGTAGTCCATGTGAGCACTTGAGGTGGTTTCTCTAAATTTGTGCATCTTGTGTTTCCTTTGGGCTGTTTTAATTCTGCTTTGCTCATAGAGCACAGCACCTTCTTTGATGAGGGTATGCCATGCTGGGCAGTCCTATGCCAGTGTCTCCCATGGCACACAATTAATTCCAAAGTTTTTAAGAGAGACCTTGAGAGTGTCCTTGCATTACTTTTTCTGACACCCATGTGAGCGCTTGTCTTATGTAAGTTCTCCATAAGATAGTCTTTTAGGCAAGCATACATTTGGCATTCAAACAATGGGGCCAGCCCATTAGAGTTGTGCTCCCTGCAGTAGAGTTTGAATGTTTGGTACTATATAAGATGCCAGACCTCAGTGTCTGGTATCTTATCCTAACAGCTGATCTTCAGAATCTTTCTAAGACAATTCAAATGGAAGTGATTCAGTTTCCTGGCATGGTGCTACTGTACTGTCCAGGTTTCACAGGCATAAAACAATGAGGTCAGCACAATGGCTCTGTAGACCCTCAGTTTGGTAGTCAATTTAACATCTATTCTCTTTCCTTCGGACCCTCCCAAACACTGAACTAGCTCTGACAATGTGTATGTCAACCTCATTATCAATGCGTACATCCCTGGAAAGTATACTGCCAAGCTAAGTAAACTTATCCACAGTATTCAAAATTTTTCTGCATGACAATTCTAGGAGAAATATCAGGAGCAAAACAGAGGTCTGTACACAATGTTTATTGCTCTGACCAACGCCTTTGATACTATCAGTCATGAGGGCTTATGAAAAATTGTGTCAAAATTTGGTTACCTGGAGAAGTTCATCAGTCTTGTACGTCAGTTTCATGATAGCATGCTTGTCTGAGTTCTGGATAATGAACAATACTCTCCCACTTTCCCCGTCACCAATGGAGTGAAGCAAGGCAATGTGCTTACTCCCATGCTTTTTAGCGTGATATTTTCAGCTAGAAATGAATAGTCTTCAGGGAGGGCCCAGGCTTATCACAGCTGGTAGATCTGGAGATTCTAGTCACTCCTAAATACAAAGGATTTTGAGTGATTGTGATTCTATCTACCTCCGTGTCTCTGTCTGTATCTCTTTCTGTATCTCTCTGTCTCTGTCTGTCTTTGTGTCTCTGACAGTTTATTTATTCATTCATTCACCTTCATCCCCACAAAAAGTTATGCAAATTAAAAAAACAAGGGACATTTTCAAGGCTTATCCCAAGTTACTGTGCTAGTAGTTATAAGGTACCTGTCCCAAAGAAGCCACTGTAAAGAAAATAAAATTAGAAAAACTGAAATCAAACAAACAACTCACAAAAGTGAAAAATGTAGTCAAAAGGAAAATCTGAGCTTGTCCTCTCAGAGAAAAACTTTATTCCTTGAAGAGTGGTCTTAATAGGGATTTGGTACCTGGACATACTGAAAATTTCTCCCTCATCTTGGATAAGAAAAATTGACTGGCCCTGGGTAGAAATTCCTCCATGAATCCCTTTGGTGCAAAAATGTCAACCTGTTATGTTTCTCCAATAGATCCCCTAAAATTGCATAGGGCTGTGCAGGTGCGAAATGGAAGAAAATATCTCTAGGCGTGCTGGCAATGCATTGGGAAAAACAAAGAGGACCAAATATGCTTGACAGAAGGATGAGCAGGCTCAGTTCAAAAAGAAAAGGAACATCCTCAGTGGACCCCTGAACACATGTTTCCTCCCTACCCCCCAAAAGAGTGAGCCTGAAGTGTTGATTGGAATCCACCCATTACAGGAGGAAGACACTGGCTGAGATGGTGAAGAAGTTGATTAATGGAGATGGATGCTTAGGTGCCAATTTAGACCAGAAGCCAGAGGGCTTGAATCAGAGGGATTGGGTCAAAAACTTGAGAGAAAAGCAGTCTTCCAGAAACTAAAAGAAGGCTAACAGAGACAAAAGCAGAGTATGAAATTGTCAGAAGGACCTTCAGAAGCTGGAGGATACATGGAGGAGGGCCATTAGGGGTGGTGAAAGGCCTGGAGATTATGCCAAATGAGGGTTGGTTGAAGGAACTGTGGGTATTTAGCCCAGAGAAGGGAAGACTGGGGGTTGGAAATGACCTGCTAGCCATATTTAAAGGGTTGGGTTGGCCTATGGAGGACAGATTAGAATACTACTCTTTGGCCCCAGAGGGCAGAACCAGGAACTGTGGGTAGGATTTGCAAAGAGCAACATGAGCTCAGGAAAAACTTCCTAACAACTAGAACCATTTCTTTCATTTGAAGTCTTCCAAGGGAACCCTGGATGGGGCATGCAGGAAAACCATGAGTCTATTTTTTTTTTTGTGAGACAATTTGGGTTAAACGACATGCCCAGAGTCACATAGCCATCTATAAGTCTATCTTGAGGCCTCACTTCTGACAAAACCCTACTCGCTCTTAGTCACCATTCATCTAGGAAGCATCCCAGCCACTGGACACCAATCAGAGGAGTTCTTTGTATCCTCTTGGCAAGTTTCCAGAGCTCATGCCTACCTCTATGAGGGTTCACCTTCCCAGTGAGGTCTGTACCATGGCCTCTCATCAAGTTGGTTGGAGACTTCATCAAAATGGTCAGGGAGTCCCCCGATCAACCCTCCTTACAGTTTAAAGAGCCACATAGGGAGGAGCTTGCTAACAATGAGAGGTGTCCCCAAGTCAGATGAGTTCCTTTGGGAGGGAATGGGTTCTCGGTCAGTGGGGGTCTGCAAGAAAAGGTTTATTGATACTTGTCAAGCATATTGTAGAGAGGATTTTTCTTTAGGTGTAAGGGAGACTGAACGGTCTTAGAGAATCTTTCTAACCCTGAGATTCTGTCATTCTGGAACTCCTGTCCATGTGTATGATCCTTCTTCTGGTCCATGATTCTAAGACTAAAATAGTTGAAGTGAGTCATGTCTGCATAGGCACAGATTCTCTGAATGACAGACCCTATTAAGCTTTGGAGCAGAGAGCTGGCTGTGCAAAGAGCACAGAGATTAGAGGTGTCTTCCTGAATGTGGAGGGTTTGAATGGGAAATGGATAGCTCCCTATTCCCCGCAGTAAGTCTTCTTTTTGGCATTTAAAGCTCTTTATAATCTAGTGCCTTCCTACCTTTCCAGACTGCTTGTACTTTATTCTTCTCCACACATTTATGATTCAGGAGCACTGGCTTCCTTGTGATTCTCTACACTTCTCTGTACCTTTGTGCTGGCTGTCCTCCACGTATACATGGCACATGTACATTCTGGAGATCCTTACGTGGAGTCCCCCTCCTACTGACAAATTGGGGCCTTTGAGCTTGGCTATATCTCCCCCTTAGGGTACTAGGGGTACCTCTGAGGGGTCAAGGATGGTTTTCTAATGTCATCAGCTCCAGCCCTTGGTGGTCTACTTCTCCCCTATCCCTGTCCAAAGTAATCAGTTGAGTCATTTAATTAGCTGTTCTTAAGTTGCCTTTGGAAAGGTGTATTTACCAAGGTGGTCAGGCTTAGTATAGTGCCTAGTCTAGGGTGTTCAGGGAACACTAATACCTCTGGTATGAGGGCTGTCTAGCTCTTTTCAGAGCTGCTATTCACCTTTGGTGTCCACCTCATTCACCCGACTCTCACCTGTAGCTTAAAGAAACTCTAGCATGTGCAGTGGCCACACCTGGGTAAATCATTTTGGCAGACAGGCTAAATCAGGTTGAGGATAACCAAGGGATCTCAAACCCATCGGTGAGTTAGAGGGGTGTCTGCCTCAAGCATGTGAAGATATCCCCCCAGCAGAACTGGCAGATGAGAACAATTTCTTCCAGTGGTCATCAAGGTGGTTGAGGCAGGCACCGTGGAGTGCTTAGAAGCCAAGGTCATCCACTTCATCCCAAGCCATTGCCAGTTCTCTTGACTTTTGTCTTGCCACTCGACTTTGATGACTCAGGAAAAGAGAGTAAGGACAGACACTTTGTGCAACTATGCTTCACGGAAATCTGATTTATGTACAAGTCGAAAGATATCACACA